GGAACTCCCATACGGGATACTTTTTTATAGTTTTAATGATTTGGCTAGCAGACTAGCCAACCCACTTATTTGAGTTCTAATTTATTTAAATATTATTTGGACTAAAAAAATGGCTTCAACAAGCTTATTCATAGTTTCTTGGGAAATTACATATTTTATGAGTAATGAAGAAAGATTTTATTAACTGAAGAAAAAGATTACAAGTAATTAAGTCCAATATTGTTAAGCTAGTCCTTGTTACCTAACCCCTTTGTGTCTTATGAACAGAAGTTACACTGTAACCCCAAATACAACCATTCCCTATTAACCCCCTGCCTTGCATATGAATAAGCTATACCATGATTATGTCCCTCCTAACTTTCTTGCAATTTGTTTAGCCTGCCTCAAAGTATGCCAATGTTTTTCTATATTATCATTACTCAGCATCTCACCTCTGTTCTAGAGGTTTGAAGGGAAATTACATTCTTGCATCTATCAGGGTCTATATTAAGCTTGGTGTGATAACCAGCAATGGTGCACTTGGTGGAAAAGATATCATTCCTTCAACTTTTGTTCATTGACTGTTTGGAGCATAAAGTAATTATAAATACATCAAACAAAGACTAAGAGTCTACACAAAAGAACATAATATGCATCCCCTACCTCTTTTTATTAAGAACCTGAGTTTTTTTTCAGATAAGTATTCATTAAGAACCTCAGGTTCCTGTAGCCGATATGATTTTCAAAGTCCTTACCTTCTTTCACCAATTGTTGTTTCCGGTACACAGGCAATCCAATGCAAAATGACCCATTCTCCGCACTGATAACTTCATACCAACCTTATGAGTAGCTGGTTTGGACATGGTGCCTTGTTTGGTGGCAGAAAATAATTTTGACATTTTGCAGACTGAAGAGCCTTGACTAAGATTGGAGGCACAAAATTGGAGATAGGCCTACCGAGCTGGTAAAAAAAGGCTATTACCCAATGTTCATTCCAGCTATCTGGGATCTTGGGAGGGGTATGGATACAGTCTGGTCCTAACCTTTGGCATTTTTTTTTCACAAAGTTGCCGCCCTCAGACACAAACTTACATTTTTACGCTTGCCAGCCCAAGATTTTACCACTACACCAAGTAATGGCCCCTACAGGGCCTACTAGGCTAGTAATGAAGCTAAATTAATTTTCAGGGCTGGTTTGCCCCACAAACTCTTCTGGCTGGCTAGAAAATTGTGGTTCTTGGTGTTCTACTAGATGATTAATTAGATTGCTCAATTGTGTGATCAACTCTTCTTTGTTCCCCATGTCACATCAGCTCTTGCATGCTCCTCATTTTGTTCGCACAAATCCATGATAGTCTTTATGGTAACCACTTTAGCTTCTTCATCAGAACTGGGATTGAAGACCTTTTAAGGAGGTATCTTAATTCTAATACCAATTAATGTAGATCTAGTTGATGGTAGCCTCACTTTAGAATCCAGCAAAGTATGCTTTTAATCTGGGGACATTCAGAGAACAGTTGCTGGTTTTCTTCAAGTGACAAAAACTACAACTCACTTCAAACTAGCATCCCAAACATTCTGGAATAATAGAAATCCAGAAAATAGAACTTAAAAAATAGTGGTAGACTCAAACTAAGAACACCCAGAAGAAAATAACAGCTGGTTTAGAAACTATCAATTATAAACTGTCAGCTTCCAAATCCAGGTGTAGTCTTTTTTCTTTTGAAAGGCAAGGTAAAAAATTTTATTGATGATAGAGGAAAGAGTTACAACAACATCCAGATGTAGTCATTGATTCCTCCTTTCATATGTTTTAGCAACTTTGAGATGTTCAACATCTCTATGGAAATTGATTTGTTATATCTTCTGTCATTATGGGAGGCTGAACTAGGAAAACCCAAGTTACCAAAAAAAAAGGAAAAAAAGAAGAATGATGTTGGAAAGGAGGGGGTCAATAAATGGCATAGTGGGAGTCAACAGAGAGCATTCTACATTATTAATGTCAGAATCCCTAGGGAGTTTCTGCATGACATATAGTGATTCCAAGGGGACATTTCTTGGTGTAATAGTAAAATCTCTAATCACGAACATGAAAACCAAGGTTCAAGTCTGATAGTGAACTTTGTAACCAAAAAAAAATAAAAAATAAAAAAGAATAGAATGGAAAAAAAAAGTTAGATCCATGTCCAGTCCAGTCCTCATAAGACACTGGATGCCAAGACCACATTTGGTAATGGCCCTTTTATATCTGTTGATTATCAAAAAAAAAAAGTAAGGCCCTTTTATATAGTGATTGGTACTTGATGACCTTGCCCCACTTCCTGCCCAACAGGAGAAAAAAAAAACTATTTTTTCTGGTATGCAAACCTTATGAAGCCTTATTTTATTGTGTTGCTTCTGTTTGTACAGGGACAATTAAACCTTAAAAGGGAAAACATTTAACTGTTTCCAACCATGAAAAATACAGTATGCAGAATTGAAATGCTCTTGCTATATCTTATGGCAATGGCAACTAAGAGTGATTTTACCATTACAAAGGCCCGAATAAGAACCCTTAAAAGAACAACAGGCAGGCACTTAATTTCAAGCAACAAAATTGAGAAGATTACTTATATACATACCTTCCACAATAGTTCTGGCATATCCAAGGCAGGTTGATCTATTGCAAGTTCAAAAATAGCTCTAGCCCGTTCAGTCTCACTCAAAGACCTCTCCAACTCTGCATATTTGCTCCACGCATAGCAGTTTTCTGGTGCCCAATCCAAATACTTCTCATAGAGTTTTCGACAACGATCAATATTACCAAGTTGCAACTCTATTTCAATATACTTCTTAAATATCTGTTTGTCGACATGTAAAGCAGTGAGCACAGAACCACCTAAATTTTTTAAAGTTGGTTAGAAGTAGTGAACATATTTAATACCTTATCTTTGGGAGCCTTCCCAATAGCGTTGCCTAGGATTAGCCGTGCAGCCTTAAGATTCTTCTGCCGTATTTCAAATTGAGCAGCCAATAACCAAATCTTTGCAAATGAGAACTTCTCATGTGGGATCAACTTAAGGCATTCCCTAAAAAAATGCAAATAAATTAAATATATTTGATAACCGGGGAAACCATACATCTATATCATGGGGGGGCATTCCCTGAACAAATGCAAATTAAATTAGATACATCTGATATCCAGGGGGAACCATACATCCATATCATATTTTCATTACTTTTTCCCTCTCTCTCTCATGCAGAACAACTTTAGTCAGATCATTCAGCTAAAGCTGATGGAACAATTATAGCAAGCCATGAAAATTTTCTTGGTGGATAATGTTAACATATTGGTTGTTTGGTCATAATACATCTTGAAAAGGAGATGGATGCCTTCTGCAAATGGGAAAACGGAGAAACACCTATAAACAAAGAAAAACGATGGTTTCAATGATCAATGCTAAAGGACAGGTCAGAAAAGAATATCTGAAGGAATTAATGGCATAAAATACCATATAGTCTTAACATTCTTAAACAAAACAGTGGTATATTGGTTAAGAGGAGCTATATAGAACAAAATGAAGTAGGTTCTTTCTGATAATCATATACATTTGCTCTTAATAGTTAATACTAGTCCAACTATCCCTCAATTTTCTGCTTCTTATTTTTTTTTTCATCAACCCAAACACAGCTTTAAATATATTTATCCCTGGTAATTAGCCAACTACACTGAATGAATTCTGAATACAAATCGAAGCTTGCCCAACCTCCCAATGAGAGTGGAGCTTCTCAACTCAGACAACAAAATTCATCTGAATAGAAGCACTATCACTAATGAACTTAACGGTCATGCTCTTTTACTTGTGTGTGTGTGTGTTTCTGTTTGCAACTTTGCATACACACATACGGATATCTTACAAATAAATTGGTCACAAACAGATATAGTTGAAATTCTTAACGGATAAATGGTAATATACAAAATTTTCAAGTCTAATCAAATCCAATTTTTATTTCTACTAAGTGAAAAATACCTGTACACTTCTCTTGTTCGCTCCATGTCTTCTGCATCAAGCTCCTCATATAAAGCATAGTTAATCCTGTATATAAAAGTGAGACAAAAAAATTTAGAGAGTAACGAACAGCAGAAAATAAGTGGTAGTGTCACTAAGGAAACTAGACCTTAAACTTCTAATCTGACAATAGCTGCAATACATCAAGGTATAGCTACTATGCCTACTAACCCATATCAACAAAGATAGGTAACCTACCATAGGTAGATATATCGTTGCCAATAGCGCTTTTCTGCAGCAGGAGGAACATTAGCAATTGCTCGTTCATAAACTTCTCTAATTCTCTCCTTGTTACCGACGCTCTCTTCTAGTCTGATATAATCAAACCAGTGATCATAATTTAGAGGATTCTTTCTCACCTCTTCCTCATACTGAAACCTCCTCTTCCCCACAACTGCATCTTCTATCCCCTCCCTATCCCCGTACTGCTTCTCAAACGCGACAAACTTCCTATACAAGTCTTCGGCTCGACCCTTTGGTATATGGTCCAGGGCAAACTTATAAATACATCGTGCGCGCTCCGTCTCCTTACAACGTTCTTCAAATTCCGCAAACGCAACAAATAAGTTTTCAGCCTCTTCGTCGTCCGCCAATTTCTCAACAGCCCTCTCATAACAGTTTCTGGCCCTAGCGACCTCTCCGTTCTTCATCTCGAATTTGGCGTATCGAATCCATGCTCCGACCTTTGGGTGGCACTCTACAAACCTCTCAAAAATCGCCCTTGCTCGCTCGACTTCATTGTATCTAAGCTCGAATTTGATATATGAAAGCCAACCTTGTTGGTCCGGCATCCAACTCATCCAACGCTCAAATATTTGGCGTGCACCTGCAACATTTCCAAGCATCTCCTCCATGTGAATGTATTTGTACCAGAGCTGATCCACACGAGGGAGAAGGGTGACTGCTCGATCCCATACATTCCTCGCATGGTTTATGAACTTGTTCTTCATCTCCACTTCGGCGTACTTGAGCCATAACGTATGATTTCTGTAATCCACTTCGAGAGCCCGTTCCCAAACCGACCGAGCTCGAGCAAAATCCTTCTGCGATTCCTCCCATTGGGCGTATTTTATCCACACGCTGACATTCCATCTGGTTCTGCGTATTAGGTCTTCAAACTCCTTTCGCTTTCGAAGACGATAGTCAGCAAGTTCTGTCGGGTCAGTGATCTTTTGTTTGGGAGGTCTAATCTCAGCTTCTTGACGTTCACGGGCTTCCCTGAGAATTTGTTCAGCGGTGATCTGAATCGGCGCGGGGGTCTTGTTCTTGACTCTCGTTGGTCGGGGGAGCTTAACCTCGGTTTCTTTGCGCGTCAGATATCCTAACGTAGGATCTGATTCTCTCGCGGACGCCATGGTTGATTGTGGGAGCTCTGTTGACTCCTGTCCTACGAGAATACCAGAGGGACAGATAAAGATAGAGCAGTTGACAGGAAGATTATACAGCCGGCGAGAGAAAGAGGGGGAGTATGCAAGAGGGTTAGAGGACGGACCAGGGTTAAAGAGGCAACAGGCGAGAAATTTCAGATTAGTAACCTGTATTTTGGGGCTAGTGTCACTTTCGTCCCTCGAACTTTAAAATGTGCCAATTTAGTTCCTTTCGTTAATGAATCGTTGAGTAGCATATAAAAAGACATAAATGCCCTTATAATGACATCTAATTTTCTTTATTAACCGCTTCCTCTGCCTCCTTCCACCGGTTCCCGTCTCATGCACATATCCATCGCCTTTAGTTTTTCAATCCACACTCTTTATTATCCACGATGGAACCAATTACGAACTCAGTTGGTAAAAGCAATAGAGTTCTACCAGCAGCTACCACGAAGCAATAGAGTCTGTAAACTCTATTTTTTCCCTTGTGGATCACAATGTTTTAAGTTTTGAACTGGTGGAATGAAGAGATATCATGATTCATGATGAGGAATCTATTTGCTAATGACAAGTCTTTTTAGGTTTTGGATTTCCACTTTTCTTTGTTTCTTTTCGTGTATCTCCAAGAATCCATTCTACACATGCATTCATAATGCATTTAACACTTGATGACTTGAGCAGGAAACCATCCCTTCCTTTTTAGATATTTTTTTTATCTGGATCCATTCTACAACCGGCCTTTTTTTATCGGAAAACAAAATACAAAACATAAATTTAATTTAAGACCCAATCGGCTAATCATTACTAGAGAGTTTTTCTTTCTTTCTATTCCTCGTTTCAAGATGAGCAAAGCTTGTCGTCCCCGATGGTATCGAATCACCACTAAACGTTCGAGCAAAACTTGACTCAGTTTGGAAAGAGTATAAATGTAAATATGTAGAGTTCAAAACCTTATATATTATATTATTTTGTATATATTTACATTCTACATATTTACATATTTGCATTTATACTCCCTCATGAGCCTAAATGCCTTCGGCTGATTGAAACTCAATGTCTTCGGCTCAACCAAGATCTTCACGATCATTGACTCATTATTTACAAACGAAGTGCCCACGTTTGTCAGCATCTGGGTGTACTTCACCATGGTGGTGGTGGCTCCACCTTGTTTGAATGGGACAGCAAACGAAGGGTAGTGTTGACATTGCTGTGTTGTATTTCTGTTTCATTTCTTCTTAAGGAAGAAGATAGTGAACAGTGTTTTATTTTCAAAGTATAATTTTTATAAGTTTTAAATTGCACATAACTAATGGTTAATTAACGGTAAGAATTAAATTGACACATTTTAGAAGCTTAGATATTGGATTAACATATTTTAAAGTTCAAGGATCAAAATGACACTGGGCCCAAGCAGCTATTAATATGAAATTTTCTTTTTTTTTTTCGTTAGGCATGAAATTTGGTCTAAGCTTGGTTTTTTGTTAGGCCAGAAATCGTATATTGGTCTTTAGGAAAATTACAGACAGCCACTAAGCCACACTGGTCGAAATCTTGTACAACAGACCTCCCTGAATTGTTGGATTCTAGTACTTTTGCCCCATCGCTAGAATTATATCGGCTAATATATTTTTTAAACATTTTTAAAACAATAAACCTCAAATTAAGGGTGAGGATGGATCGGTTCAGTCCGATTCCAATAGAAATCTACATTGTCAAAATTGGTTTTAGGGTTAGTTTTGGCTTTGGAGATTTCAGGATCAATTCTAAGCTCTACCCATAAAACATACTCTTTCATTGCTCCCAATTAGACCTATTCATGGGCCCGGCTAGGCTCTATATGTATCAACAGAATACACTCAGGCCTGAGCCCGATCCGACCCGACCCGATCATTGGGCCTAAGTATTGAGCCCACCCTCATATAAAACCCAAAGCCCGGGCCCAAGCCCGATTAGAAATTTGAAAACAATTTTTTTTATTCAATAAAAAAGTGTTTTATATTTATATTAAAAACCTTCAAAACTCAAAAATAACAAACATCTCGCTATTACTTGGAAAAAAGAGAAGAAGAACAAAAAAAATATTATATATATATATATTATTAAATAAATATATTTTATTATTTAATATATTGTATCAAGTAGGGCTTGGGCTCAAGCCAGGCTTTTTTGAGAAAGCCCGAGCCCGACCTAAAAAAATTCGGGCCCACATATGTTTTATTTCCTTACTATTGTCATTCTTGGAGAGCTACATTCTCAAATATGTATTCCAGACAACGTTTCACATGCAATGCCAGACTATTAGCGGCCAATAATGGTGGACAACATATGTGATGTAGGGTGATTTGGCATGACCTCGTAACACGGGGACACGTGGACATGACCTGGCATGAACAACAACTCAACATGACAGCCTGGCCACAACCCGGCGTAACAAGCTCGACGAAGCCTAACCAAGCGACTCGGCGGGAGTAACAGCTCGCTAGGAGGCGAGGCTCAGCCCGCCCCGAGTGCAAGGCGTAAACACCCCGATCTCCCGCAACCCTAAGGGACCCGAGCTCCCCGCGAAGGAGCTCGAGCTCCCCTTGAGCCCTAAACTCTCCTCTCCTAGGGAGCCCCGAGCTCTCCACTCTTGAGGAGGGGGCATCTTAGCTTTTGGCTAAGTGTCTCGAGGGAGAAGTACCTCAGGACTGCATCCGCAGAATCTGTACCTGTCGGATCAGAGTAGTTCCGTAGCCTGTAGGGAAGATCCGCCTGACATCTGTACCTACCAGATCTGGTGGCAGTGCTCACATCTCTTGCCAGGCAGCGTCGTGCCTGCTGTCCCTGAAAAGCATAGCACGCCTGACGAGTTTGTACCCTGCAGCAGCAGCCCGTAGTAGCGGCCTACACCTGCTACCTCAGTCCTGACAGTAACGGCTAGGGCAGTGACGGTTACACCTGATGTGACCGACCTCCGGTATAAAAGGACCACCACCCTCGCAAAGCAAAAGTATTGAAGCATAAGCACTTTCAACACTCTTACTCTCTACTCTCTTTGAGATTCTTCTCCAGTCCTAACTTAGCTGTCGGAGTGTTCCCACCGGGATATCTCCCCGGGAACCCTTCACTTCCTCCTTCCTCACAGGTGCCAATCGTTCCAATCGGAAGCCAAGCCACAGTCAGGTAGGAGTGCCCAGATCGTGCAGCATCATTTGGCGTCGTCTGTGGGAAGCACTTCAAAAGGCCTTCCTATAACTTCTGTACAACTATCTTCAAAGAATTGTTCAGTATCATCAACACTTATGGCTTCCTCCAGCAACACCGAACGCCGAAACACCCCTGAGGAACAACTCCAGTTACCCACTGTCTGCATCGGCCAGTTCACCGTCCCTCTCTCTGTGGACGGGGTCCCTAGTCTGACCGTCCTCCCCCCGGTGGCACCCGTCACTGTTCCACTGCCCTCTACAGTCAGAACAACCGTCACTGTTCCACTACCCTCTACAGTCAGAACAACCGTCATTGTTCCACTGTCCTCTCAGATGCAACAGTTCCAACAACTCCAGTCCCACCAGCAGCAAGTGCTGCACCAAATGTCCCAATACCAATATCAACAACAGTTCCCTTCGCTCCCCCCCCGACATCCGGCGACGCAGCCAGCTAAGCCTCAGTGCCGCAGTGAACTCCCTTCCTGCCGGGGAGAGACTTCCGCATCGTCTCACGGAAGAAAGGGGAGGATCCCTACCCCCGCCGTGCTGCCCGCGGTCAGGTCGAGGGCTTCCCAGCCGATTAGGCCGGCGTCACCCCAACACTCGTTGTTCGAGCCTCTGCTCGCGGAGAACAGGTTCGAGGTGCTAGCCGGCGACATGGAGCAAGGACTTGCCCGCAGCTACCGGTAGCCATCCCTACCTCCCCCTGGGCTCGTTGAGCTCAGCAATACTGAAGCCAACAGCACCAACGCCGAGCCGACCAAGAAGCAGCGAAGACATCGCCGGTCTTGCCGAACTACCACCATCAACAACCTGCCCGAGCTCAAGGGCAAAATAGAAATAAGCTCGGGAGAGGTAAGAGTTGCACCACTCCTCTCAGTCCCCTCTCCTTTTCCCCGGAGCTTCTCGCAGTCCCCATGCCCAAGGACTTCAAGCTCCCCCGTTGGACAAATACAATGGGTCCTTCGACCCCAACGACCACGTCAACGCCTTCAGTTCCAGATGCACCTAGCCAGGGCAAGTGAATCTTGCATCTATGTGGCCTTCTCTACTACGTTCAAAGGGGTGGCCCACACTTGGTACCGAAACCTCTCGCCGGGCTCAATAAGGAGTTGGGCGCAGTTCGTGAAGGTCTTCACCTCCCACTTCGTCACTAGCAAGAGATGCCCGAGGACCTAAGAGAGCCTCCTCAGCATAGTCCAGAGAGATGGGGAGTCCATCTGGAACTATATCAAACGGTTTAATGACGCTTGCCTGCAGATACCCGATCTAGACCCTGCAGTTCGGCTCACTGCGGCCAAGCGGGGCATCACCCACAAGGAGTTTAGATGGCACGTGGTTGTGAACCAACCCAAGACCGTGACCGAGTTCCTCGAACTGGCAAATCGGTTCATAGGGACACAGGAGAAGATCAACCAGAAGGGTGAGCACGCCCCCGAAAAAAGAAGGGAACCAGAACCCCCGACTCCTAACAACTACAAGAAGAAGAAGGATCAAGCTCGGGGGGTAAACCCGATTCAGCCTTTCCGAGCTCCAGCAGCAGAAAGGGTGTTTACACCCCTCAACACGAAGCGGGCCGAGATCCTCATGGCGATCAAGGACGCCCCGTATGTAAAGTCGCCACCTCAGCTCAAGGCCGACCCTAACGTTAGGAACAAGAACTTGTAATGTAGTTTCCATAGAGATCACGGTCATAGCACCGAAAATTGTAATAACCTCCGCAATGAGATAGAAGAACTCATCCATCGTGGATATTTGAGAGATTTTGTACATCGTGGCAGTAACAATAAAGTAGGTCGGCAAGGGGAACAGAGTAAAGAAGCTCCCGAGTCCAGCAGACAGGCTGAGTAGCCGTAGAGGCAGCCTCCCGATGAAAGACCGGTCAGGGGAACCATCCATGTAATCGTCGGAGGATCGGTTGTCGCAAGCTGCACCTCGGCCGCAGCTCGGTCATCAGCC